ACGGGGGAAAGTTGGGAGCGAGTCAAATGGATGCCTCACAAGTCACCGCGGTTGTCTTCCGAATGCTGAAGCACGCGCTGGACACCATCAAAATTGACGAACGAATTGTCGATGATTATCTAGGCGTCTCTTGGACACACTTACAATGTGAAAATGCAAAGCATACCTTGGCAACTTGTTCCACTGACAATTTTCCTTTCTAAAGAAAATTGATCTCCGCAGCTCAGTTCAGTTTTAAGCAGGTCAGCATATCTTAAACTACGATGACCATTTGCGTGCTATAACCGACTACTAGTCAGACACGGTGTGATTCCAGATCTTGCAAAACGTCGCTCATTGAACGACCAAGCTGTGAAACCTTGATTGAGGATAGCACTTTGTTGGGATTGTGTTTTGCTCGCATATGCTAAGGCAATGATGGGATTAACGCACTTTTTACCAATGCTATTTGTGCTGTTTACTATTTTCAACTTTGAGAAGAAGTGATCGCTAAGACATCACTTTTGTTCGCCCGACGTTTCGTAATCAATCGCGTATCCTTTATCAATGACATTAGCACAAGCAATAACAGAAACGGATAATTCATGCACAGGGGGCGTAGTATTTATGGGAAACAGTCACCATGATACTGCCCACCCATGACAATTAATGACTGAGAAGAAGATGACTCGATCGCAAGGTCAATACTTTAGTTGCCTGACGTTTCGATATCCGTCACGGATTCGTCATCAGCGGCATAATCAGAGAGCAGTGGCTGATAGAGTTAACGCCTCCCCTATTGAGGATAACTGCCTGTTTGCGCGCCAATGGCTTCATGACCGGCGTGCGGGTCGCGATCTGTTGAACTTTCATCACACGTGGTGGAATTGGTTCCCTGTCGTGTGCGTTAGAAGACGCGTTGGCCCGCGACAAATTTCCTTAACGTCAGACAACTAAACCCCATATCCCAACCATCACAGCTTCTTTGTCTCAATTACTTTCTGGGACTCGCATGTTCGCTTTTATTTGCAATTTTCAAATGTGTTTGTCAGTTGTTATAATGCCCTATAGAGCCACAAATTCATAGTATTTGAAATATGTTCCGGTGGGTAGGACGAAATTCTACAGAGCTTAACTCTTTGTTCTAACTCCCTTTTTTCCTCTAGAATGAGAACTCCTCCGATTGGGTCCGGCAAAGTTTAATCCAGGTGAGATCGGAGACAGTTTGTTATCCTACTGTACATTACATTTTATCCATCTATTTTGGGCCCTTCCCAGAATTGCGGAGGATGTCATGGCCACCATGGTACAAGGTCCAACGTTGGAAACATTAAATACTAAGTCAAGCAAGCCTCTAACCTCGAACACAAAATATGATGAACGCGAAAAGAGCTTCCTTGCTTATTTTCAAATGCATGTCTGCTAAAGAGACAGAAAAAGACTGTTTAAGCCACCAAGAGACTACCTGAAGTGAGATTTAAGTGATCTTTATCCTTGCGCTTCTGCGGCCGTTAGCGGTTTCTGACAGTCCGGAGGACAGTCTTCGAGGACACTAGTAGCACAGTTGTATATATACGCGCGCACGCCCGTGCCAACAAACGTTAGATATGGGGTTGTCATTAGTGAACTATTGGATACAGGCAGTTACATTATATCCTGATCATTCTTTTGATTCCTTATTCAATCGGACTGTCAGGAAACGAAATTATTTCGGCAGCATATTGAGAAACATGCCTACGGTTCCTTAGCTTTTAGGTATATTTCTCTCTGCACCCCAAAAAAAACATTTCCTGTGGGCATCGACGCAGATGATCTGGCAAATCAGGAAAGATTTGAGCATTGCACCTTCTTCACGGAGCAAGTGCTTGTACTCATGCTTTATAAATAGCCAAAAGGTTCAGTCATATCTCGTACTAACGGACAGATGGCCGTTTACACTCCCAACCTACCCGCGTCCCCCAAAAACGAAATAAACTTGTTACTGATTGATGAACGTTCGCCTGGCAGTTACAGGGACTCACTTGTTCCACTCTGCCTTGGGTCCCGCCAGAAGCCCCAACAGCCCTAACAGCTAGTAGTATAGGTGGATCGTATTGTCTCAAGTTCGATTCTCTGGTGGGGCACCACATGGGTTTGCGTAGGACTGGCTGACGACGGCTTATAAGCCAGAAATGACCATTCCGGTCTCCCTTGTCTTTGCCGGCGATACTATCTGCCTTGAAATTAACTGCCCACTTTTTTATGTCAATTCCCCTTTCTGACAATGCTGCCTGACTAATGCGTAACGTACAATTCTCCATTTAGGCAGTAACCTTGGAACATTACCCACTGACAATGCGAATTCGAATTATTGAACAACTCCATCTACTTTCCGTGATAGTTGGCCGTTGGTTGCTACCGCGGAATGGCCTCAGTAGGGATCAGCTCTCCCAACTGCTTCTTATCAACATCGGCAACGCTGCTGACATTCTCGAGCTGTTTGAGGCTTTTAACGAGGAGGCCGTTCGTCTGAATCCCCTTCTCAAAATCTGCATCCTCTGTCTGTGGCAAGCCAGCCTCTTCCAGTTCTGCTTTAACAAAACTGCAACGGTTGAGCCGAACACACCACTGGCCAAATCTGCTTCACAGAGTAGCAATATGTATGAGTCCACCGCGATCATTCGACCCAACCCGGTCTACTCCTGTAGAGGCAGCGCGCCGGTGAGTAGAAAGATCTCCTCACGAGAATCGATCGCTATAGCAGTGCTTCCAGACCGCAAGTTGGCGTCTTCTCATCAACACATATTTGCCCAGGCTGCCGATCTACGACGAATTTCAGTAAACAATAATCTACGCTCAAGAGTGCAACTGCAAGATAGCACCGATACGAATGGCAGCGAGATGAAGGATGGAGATGCCACCATGGACCTACATGGACCGAACTCAATTGAATCCAGCTGCGGTTGTTGTGGCCGTCGTGGGGGGGCAAATGACTGTATGCAGGAAGGTCACTGTGGCTACATTTGCTTTGGAACTGAGTTATGGGCCATTTTCATGTCTTTGATGCTACAGGACGTACCATTTCTGGGTCTGCGTCTCGCTCTGGTTCTTCGCTTCAATGTTCGCAGTTATTCCAATGTGTTTTTCACCTGCAAGAACAGCCTGCTAATTTTGTTGCAGGTCTTTCGGTCGGCGGTCATTCTGCAGGAGTGTCACCGTAAGCCCTCTCGGTCTACAAACCACGAGGTTCCACTCATTCTCTTCTCCCAAGATTGACCTAAATCTTTATTTCTACAAAAACCTTGCCCCCCCTCCCCCTCCTAAACGGCTGTGCAGTGCGTATCCATGTGCGGCAGCCGCTGTGACTGATATTGGTTTTTTTATTTACGCTCCTCCCTTAACTCGGCGACACAGTCCCTCGTCTGCTACCCAGTCGCCAGGTCGCCTCTATTCCAGTCTTCTGCTGATGCAGATAGTCGTCAGTGTGCTACTGTGCGAATTCTAAAAATTCAGCCTACAGATAAGCAGATGTTTGCATAAAACATAAACACATATTTAGTCATTACCGTTACTTGCCACCTATCTCATTGTATTGTTCCTAAACGAGGGAAATTTGTGGATAGTCT